TGGCTTGAGCAGATGGACCGGGTACTCAAGAATTTGAGAGTCCCAGATGCTGATCGCTCGGAGTTGGCGTCACAGATGTTCCGGAAGGGAGCATATGATTGGTGGAAGCGCATTGACCAGGATCCACACACGCCCAAGCCTTGGACCTGGGATCGCTTTGATCGAGCCTTCACGAAGGAGTACGTCCCCACCCGGTACCACGAGGAGAGGCGCGATGAGTTCGTTGCGCTTAAGCAGGAGGGGATGTCACTGCCTGAACTGAGACAGAAGTTCGACTACCTGTCCCAGTATGCGACGAGTCTGGTCTCCACTCCGGAGGATCGCTTGAATGAGTTCGTCAAGAAGCTACGGCCGGACTTGAGGCCGTACGCCGCGCTGATCATGACGACAGATTTTAATGCGGCGTATGATTTGATTGTGAAGACGGAAAAGAGCTTGGACGATTTGCAGGCAACCAAGAAGGAGGATCGAGCGACGAAAGACCCGCGACCCGCGGCCAGCACCGGGCCGAGCGGGAAGAGTTTTGGATTCGGGGGAAAGAGGTACGAGAAGGGTTCTTCGAGTGTGCCGCCGCCTAAGAGGAGTAAGTCGAGGCCGTCTCCGTCGGCCGCCGCTAGCAACTCATTCAGAACGAGGAGCCACCCGCAGTGTGTACAGTGTGGTAGGCATCACCCGGGCGAGTGTTGGCTCGCCCAAGGCTTATGTTTGGGTTGTGGTCAGCCAGGGCATTTCAGGAGGCATTGCCCGACAAACCCTAGCAGCGAGCCTGTTTTTCCTAGAGCTCCGGATCAGCCTGCCACATCGCATCCAGCACGGAGTCAACAGTCTGCAGCAACAAATAATCAGCAGAGACCACGTCCGCAGCAGTCAGGCCGGGCACCAGCGCGTACCTACGCCATGCAGGGGCGCACAGATCCTAGTCCCGATGTTATCTTGGGTACGTTCATACTATTTGATTCGGTTATGCATGCCTTGATCGATCCGGGTTCTACGCTCTCCTATATCTGTGTTGGCATGCCTGCTAATTCTGCGAT